GTAATCGGTGTTCAGGTATACGTAACACGTGGCCCAACAATCTCAGTCGATGAAGATTCACAACCTCATCAACTGATTTACCATCATTCCCAAATACCCTATGTCTAACCTCACTATTACTTACCCGGTGATCCTAACAGATACCAGCAATATTTCTAAAACATCTGTGATCAAATACTAGTACCCTACTAGTATCTTCTACTCTTAATGGCCACGTTTCACAGCCGCAAAGTACAACAGAACGAACTGATGAGAAATACACTCGTCCTTTAATTGATTGATGGATATCTCGACTTCGCCATAGGTGATGTGAGTTGGCAAAAGCCAAAAGGCCTTTCTGAATCGGTGCACAGATTTTGTCAGACACCGACCCATTAGGACTTATCAAAGTGAAGTTGTCAACGCATTCGACTACTTCACTCCCTATCCCTAATTCATATGTGGACGCAGGCCAGTCCTGGAGTAACAATTTACATTTGGAGTGGGAGGAATGCACGCCAAACATCCCGGCATTGTTACTCAGTGCTAACAGAAGACTGCATCTTACCAGTATCTTCACCAAACAGGACTATGTCATCTGCATATTCTAAGTCGATAAGTGGACCTCCTGGTAGGAGATTGATTCCTGAAAATTAAGTCGACGAGAACGTTATTTCCATCAGTAGGTCTATAATAAAGTTAAACAAAAATGGGAATAGTGGACAGCCTTGATGGACACCACTTGAGGTTGCGAAATCAGATGACGGTTCACCATAAGCTCTCACTCGACTAGTAGTGTCCGAGTAAAGAGCCTTCACAAGGTTTATGTACTTCTGAGGTACACCTTTCAATGACAGACACTGCCACAGAACCTCTTGGTCTACAGAGTCAAATGCCGCTTTTAAGTGAAGAAAATTTATCATTGTCTGACGTCGATAAGCATGCCTGTGTTCTAAAACCTGACGAATAGTGAATATGTGGTCGATACAGGCACGATCAGGTCTGAAGCCAGCCTGATTTTCTCATGTTTCCAGTCCACGAGCCTTTGTTGAGCGTCTGATAATTATTGAGGCGAGTATTTTAGTTAAACCAATCTCTCTATGGTTATCACGGGATGATTTTGACCCCTTCTTATATACTGGGACAATCAGTGATTGCGATCAGTCAAATGGGATTACATTAAGTTCTCATATTTTAGCAAAAGTATTAGTCAACCTAATCTCTAAAACTGGGCCACCATTCTTGAAGCCCTCTGAAGTTAATCCATCTGGACCAGCTGCTCTTCCTCGTTTCAGATTAGCTATAGCCTTTTGAACTACAATTAGAGTTGGGATGGGACCTACTTCAATGTTCCATTAAGACTGCTTGTAAATGGTGGGTAACTGTACAGTAGCTGAAAGTCATCCAAACTGTTCTCTGAAGTGTTCTGCCTATCGTTCTAAACGTCTGAGCTGAGAGCAGATAAGTGTGTCATCTTTTTCCGAGATCGTCTCATTTACACTCCTTAATTCTAGTTCCCTTTATTAGTCTTGAAAGCTGTCTGGTGTTAACTAAAGCCTCTGCCTTTTCCATATCTTTTGCTTTCGTTGCCAACTACTGCACAAGGTCGTTCCTTGGACTTTTAGTTAACCTACTTCATGATTTGTTTTCGCTCTTCATCGTGTTCAGAGCCCGATGGGATGAGCTTACGAGAATCTATCAGTGCAATAGACTTAGTAGAAATCCACTGGTTCTTCGTGACTTTTTGGTTCAAATCACTAATAGATGTCTCTGTTGTTTCCACAGTTGTTTGTATATCTTTCCAAGAAACATTTGAGTCAGCATCATCTTCAAAATTGCCCATGTGTGACTTCAGTTGTTCCTGGAATTTACCTTCGGCTTTCTCGTCTCTGAGTTTAACTCTAATGTGGTTTTTCTGCATTCAGTGAGGCGCAAACAAATGCGTGCTCGCACTAAAGCATGATCGGAGTACAAACAGGAATTCCAGAATGAGCGACAGTCTTCTACTGAGCCTCTCGAACGATGACTGATGACAATATGATCTAATTAAGTACATCGTTGGTTTGGTGCAGGCGGTCGCCATGTTAGACGATGTCTCTCCTTATGTTTAAAATTAGTTTGCTGAAAATAAAAGAATGTCTGAGCACAGTTGCAGCAGACGATTGTCATTATCTGTTCGCTGAACTGAAATACCAAAATACCCACTTAAATGCCTTTCTGTTTGGTTTAAGCTACCTAATTGAGCATTCAAGTCACCTTCAACGAGTACTATGTCTGAGCATTTAGCTTTTTAAAGTTCAGAGAGCTTTCTGTAAAAGTCACCTTTCGCTTTATCTGGGCTGCAGTCAGTGGGAGCGTAGGCAGAAACAACGAAATGGCAACGACGTGTGTCCCCATCCTTGCTTGATCTTACGGAGCCGTTTAGCAGAACAGCACATGGGCGATTGTTAACAGACATCCATTCGAATAGTGTTTTTTCTTCCCTCGTACTTAGTGCTATGCCTATACCTACAAGTCCACGAGAACTAGCCATCGAAATGCAAGATACACGGAGGGTGTAACTCGTCGGCTCTCCGTTTTGGCGAGGTGAGGTCAAGTGAACGACCACACTGGGATCCTTTTTGCGTGTTTCAGAGACAGCATACGTCAATGATAGTTAAGAGTTTAAAGTCGAGGTAGAAGGAATGATAGGAATTGAAGGAAATTGATTATGAATACAGTGGGCTTGAGCGTTGTTAGAGGTATGAGGGAGGTTATCACACTGTGTAAGGGTTCTTCTAGAAGTATCTGAGAAGGAAATTGCATTAGAAATGATCTTAGTGATATGAGAGAGTGACTGTATTGCTCAAGGGACAACTGCTTGGGGCGGCTTACACACGAACTTTTCGTGAGTAATTTTCTTGTGAGCTCCGTACTTGTTGGGACCTTACCGCCGGAGACGGATATCCGTGGGATAAGGCGAGGTGAGAAGTCAGTATAGCTGTTATGCCGGTTTTCTGAAGGGAACTCCTTACTACCGTCACACCACTGTACAGTCAGCAGTACAACTTCGCCTTCGGACCTTGGGTTTGCTGCTTTTAGTCTTCTCGGCCTTCGACCGATCTGTCTGGCATGATAGGACCTTGAGGAATGATTGTTCCAGCCAGTATAGCTCGATTGGTTCATCACGATAGACAAGCCCGACCACCACGTCAAGGTAGCAGCAACGGTTGAAATTGAAAAAAATGGTTAGAATTGTTTTGAATGTAGACCAACTTTGAGTATGAAGTCTTTACTGTATATACAGATGTATACCTCATACGAGACTATCCAATGTCTATCATTTTGCTAGTCAAATAGAAGTCATAGCATTCTATATAGTAAATTGGCTTTTATCAGTAAACAAATTGTCAGTCAAATTTGAAAGTACTTGTTATTTTTACAAAGGATAAAGTAGTAACAGTAAGTCAGTCAGATACCGCCAATAGAGCTCAAAACCACTGTATTCATAATCGATTTCCCTCTTCAATCCCTATTCCTTTATTTGAGACAACAATAATCTTCTTAGGAAATCTAAATAATTAACAATCAAAAATAAACTTAAATGTCAGTTACTTTCATAAGTGTTAATAACATATGCTTGATTTTACACATATATTATCCAGAGTAATTAAAATTTCGTATCCACTAGCTACAGTTTGAAGTTTTTTTTATGTGTAAATAGTGGTAACAGGCCACCTATAATGACTAACGAAATAGCATTTTTTGTACCTTCCATATCAATGTAGCAATTAGGGTTCAGATATAAAAACAACTGTCAAATTCTAAATTTGTCTGCTCGTTAAGTGAAAGGAGTCATGTGTGGAGAATAAAGCATCTGTCCTCATATTTTTCAACTCTGTCCACATCCGTTAGCACAATTATATGAAAATTAGGTAGAAATCAAACACTACAGTCCTTACGCTGACTAAAATAACCAAATGACTAAGGTTCACTATTACCTTAGTCAATTTCAGTCCGCATTCCTTTCCAATCATTTTATCTATTTACAAACCTAAAACACAATTTAAATAACGCTCAACCAAAGCATGGTCTGGAGAGAACTTTTTATGAAGTTGGAATACAAGTGAGTTTCATAATACTGGTGATGGGAGATTCGCGTCTCAAATAGGGTACAATTTTTAGCTTTTCCAAAGCCGTTTGTTTTGTCCTAGAAATAATGAGCTACTTATGAGTAGCTTAACTCCAAATCGGGAAAAGTATAAAGGGACCGGACGGATTTAATTTTTCATAGTTTTAAAGCATGAGTCAATTGAAGCTAGACCACCATGGAAAACCTGGACGGCCGTTTCGTCCTATTATGGGACTCCTCAGCAGTGCGCATCCACGAACCCGCTCGCGCGAGATTCGAACCCAGGACCTACCAGTTTCGAGCCAGAGCCCTTAACCGATAGACCACTGAGCTGGCATCCAACGGTGTTAATGTCTAACTTCAACTGATCCATGAAGTTGAGCGACCATTCACCAATTGTCTTCAGTGAGTTCCTATCTCACAACAGACGTGGTTTTGAACTCCACTAGTCACTGCTTCTCACTATAACTCCTAGTTATACTTCTCGAAGTCATTGGTGAGCATATGATTATATTAATTATCAGAGGGGGTTTTGTGGAGATTTAGTATTCTTCATAGTTTTAATTTTCCTCTTAATACATTGAACAAATTCAGTTTCCTTCCTAATGGTTGTCTACAGGTACTAAGATTTTGGATTTAGGTCATGAACACGTCCCATGCACCGATGATTTACTAGTTCTATGAAACCAGCCCCCATATGTTTCAACCAAAAAGATGGTAATGTAGAGGACAAATGAAGGGTACTACGTAGCGATATAAAGCTAGTTGATGAAGTTGTGTTACGCATGACTAGTAGCTGTCAACAGTGATGCATTATTTATTACAGTATGGGTGTATTTCATGAAAATGATAACGGTATATGGGATGAGTCAAATCACTGACTGTCTGTCTGTGGAAGTGAAGGTTAATTAGAGTCTGTGAAATTTTTTAGTTGTAGATCATAGATGACAGTTTAAGTAATTCATTAATCACAAAGAACGGGAATAATACATACAAGTGTGAAATGAAAGCCAATAATTACAAATGATCGCGAGAGTAACTGAAGCTTACATAAGATTGATTAAACTTGCATTTACTTACAAATAGAAGTTTTTAATAATCGAGAAAATAACACTAAATCCAGATTTCGTTAACCAATGAGTAAATCAGTCATATTTTTGAACATTAGAAATAAATATATGTAAAGAAACAATATATTTCTTATACATCACAAAATATATTAATGACAAGCATGCGCACAAAAGAGATCGGCTAAAAATGAACCTGGCAAATAAACTATTTTGATTCATATACAAATGAACGATTAAAAAGTATGAAACATGAAAATAAACGGATAGCTCAAGAGAATAAAATATAAACGAAATTGTTTTTAAGATAATGATAAAATAAGCGCTAGAATAGGCACTTGTAAAATGTACGATCTCCAACAAATTTTATTGACACACTTGATTAATCAAGTGTTTTTGAAAGTTTAAGTGTTGATTAACAAGAACATATGAATTAACGGTGTTTGTGCAATAGAGGTAATAACGTATTATAACTCAGAAAAACTATGAACCAAGAAAAAGTATGTTAGACTTTTAGGAGAAAAAGATCCTTAAGATATTTAATAGACAGTCGGTTGTCGGATTAATTCACTGACAGATTTTACATTGTTATAGTTCATCATGATTAGTCAGGATTTCCCCAAAATTGGTTGCCTGGCTACCAACAAATAAGTCGTAACGAATTAATATTTCGCTTTTGCTGAGTTTCCCATCCTAAATAATATTAACAGAAATTTTTAAAAAAAACACGCGATACATAATTGACGAAATAAAAGTTTGCGTAAAACTCTTTTCTACCGATGTGCATCCCATAAAGAAAATGATAGATGGTAACCATTGTAAATGACGGGGATGGCTATAATTGTACGAGTTATCTTACACTAAAATTATAACAGTATTAGCTGTTGACATTAGTATAAAGGAAGCTTTTCTAAAAAGGATAACACGCTATTTATCACATCATATTCAAGCGAAAATACTTCTCTAGTTCCACTCAAACACCGACTGCCCCGACGTGCAATGTTTTATGGTGTAGGAGTAGGTTGGAAGAAAGCTAGGGACGGCCAGACCAAATCGTGGCGCAAATCCATGAGGTCACTGACAAGTGGACTGAGCCATGTTGGTAGGTGTAGACTACCTGGTTGGGATCCGCGAAATGATAACAACCGATGGTTAGAGACCTTGAATGGCATGGCTCAAAATCGTTTGCAGTGGCGTAAGTGCATCCACTCTTCGCGTTCTCCCAGATTCTAATCATCTGAATTCTTTATGTCTCTATCTTTTTCTCTTTCCAAATTTATTTCACTGGATTATACTCCTTCAATAACATCTTCAAACCCTAATCTTCCGGATTACTGCTTATACTCTTATTACTTCTACCACTATGGGATTTGAATCGACAACTGCATCTCTGTGTTAATGTGGCATGGCAACTCGAACTGATGTGCGTACGTACGAAGTTCTACGCTGTTACTGACTGACTTCTCTAGTTCCGGAAGTTTTCATAATTCAATATTAAACTAATTCATTTGGTTGGAAAATACAAGCTTACGATTAGTATGGAAAACAATTAAGAGCCATCTTACTTTTTAGGTCTCTCGATATAAATAGCAACAGAAACCTACAGTGGCGAACTGACAAGTATTATTAGGACACTGGTCATATCTGAGAACACATTTACGAAAACATAATAATCAACATAAGCTCTACCTGATCTGCATCTGATTCTGAGAATAAATGGGTTACTTCTGCTTGGACATGATTATAATCTTCAGGTACGATCCATTTGCCAACCTCATCCAGATCCAGTTTTCCATCTCCATTAATATCGCGTCGTTTGGCAAATTCCTCTCTTTCAGTCTTCACCCATTCAGGCTCCGTTTCATTAGGTGAATTTGGAGACCACAGATCTTCTACAAGACAAATCCCCAACAAACATCGAATAACGATATTTAGAGTACCAATAAAAATACCAGTGATGAAGCATAAAACTCCGCTAACTCTTCAATGTAATTTACTAGCAGCTAGATGGCTGAAAATAAATACTGTTTGAAGGCCAAAGTCCCCAAGTATTTAATCAGTGTGAGAGAATTAATTTTATTCGACATTAAAGTTCGACTTCAATATTCTTATTTTACGATCAACTGCATAATTTTTAGCCTTATGTTACTAAAAACTCTTCTGAGATTAGACATATATTAATGTCAATTGCAATAATTGCAGAAACAATGTAATGTACTGTTATGTGCTCAAATAGTTTCAGTACCTTTCGCGAAAATTCGCAGACTCAACGAGCATTTTAGTTGACTACCCACCCATATAAAACTTCAGTATTAAAGATGATTAACAATAGGAATACCTAAGCATTCGTCTATTATTACTAACGAACAACCTTTTAATGGTAAAGCCCGTGATAATCTTGACTGATCACAATATGAGTCTGCCAAGTGGTCAAAATGCATATTAAAATAGTTAAGAATCAGGAAATAAAGAGTGGATAATATATAAGGACTTGCATCTAAATTCGATCGAATAGTTTCACAGTATTTAAGTGCTGAGTCGAATTTGTGTCAGAGTATTCGATTGCTGGTTTTGTTAGCGACCTTACACAGTTGTACCACAAATTATACAAAGAAACGGAGACTCCATAAACCAGTAATACATATAAACCTGATTACCTTTAGCTTTTTTACACCTAATTCCACTACTATTAGGAGCGGACAAAGTCAGTTGAAAGCAATGTAGAAACTAACAAATACATACATCGGTCCACGTTGCCACGGCATATTAAGCGTAGAGTGTGATTCAAGAGCTAGTTTGCGGAATGAAAAGTATAAAATAATTTTGGAACTTAGAGCTTAAGTAGAGACAAAAAATGAATGCATGTGCACCACTGTGGCTGATTCTAACCCAAGTCACATACTCTTCAGTTATTAGCTACGACAGTGCGGACCAGAACTACATAATCAGCACCCACTTATAAAGACCATGTTCATTTAGAATACCTAGCAAATGACCTAATCATATAAATCAATGGACATCTACAACCTCATTAACTGGTTTATTCTGCCTACATAAAAATTTACGCTCCTAGTAGTTTTGCCATAAATACCGTTTAAAAACAACAATTTAAAGTCTTGACGACATAATATTTCCGATATAAAAATCTAAGAAAATACATCAACAGTGGAAACTTACTGATATATTCATCAAGATCAACGAAGCTATCATTATTTTTGTCAACTTCTTCCATTGTTTCCTAGATTTGTAAAAGCAAATAAAATAGTTTAACCAAAAAGTGTCTAAAAATTTGATGTAACTTGAGGTAATTGTTTAAATTACTGATGAAACTGAAGTTGTTGTGTTTACATTTGTAACGATAAACTTTATATTTATTCGTGTTACACAATAAGTGTTCAGACATGTGTAATTCAGATCAGATAAATGGGTATATTCGACTGGAAATCACTCTAACTTGTGAGTCTTAAAAGCAATGATTAGTTTGTGACTCAGTGCTGAGGGACTTCTCACTGAATTACGAAAAATAAATGTCCCACACATTTGCAACAAGTTATTGAATAATCATCTCAACTAGTAACGCTTACAAAATTACATGGATATGTTTAACCTAGCATCACCTATAGCTCTTCTAGGGTTACTGCCAGTCGCCAGCATGGGTAAAGAAGGGTCGGGCATGGGGTTAGCAAGTCCAACCTGTGGAAAACAACTTTGCTATAAAAAATGCTAACCAGAATAAACAACTTAAACTAAGCCCTCCGAGTTGAAGGATCTTCATTCAGAAGAATTATAACGTCTCACAAGCAGGGAGTAGCACTGATACTGTCCAAAGAAGCATGTAAAACACTTACAAGATGGGAATCGCATGGATCTAGAATAATCAAACCTTTGAAAACATAGGAAGGGATCACAATGAATGTTGTTCAGTGCTATGTACTCACCAATGTTAGCAATTAGGACGGCTAAGATCAGTCTTATGAGAGGCTGCAGTCGATCATAGAAAAATGCTCAGGAAAGGACCTGACCATCCTGATGGGAGACCTAAACGCCAAAGTCGGAGTGGGCAACGAGTATGAAGATATCATGGGATGAAATGAACTGACTGGAAGGAAAGAGAACTGTGAAAGATTTGAAGATTCATGTGCATTCAAGAAAATGGTTGCAGGTATCACAATATTCCCACACAAACACATACACAAAGTTACATAGGTCACACTGTACAGAATCAGATCAATCATATTTGCATCACTAAAAAATTCAGGTCAATGAAAGACGGAAGAACCAGGAGAAGAGCTGACATAGCTTTAAATCACTACCACCTGGTGATGGCCAAGATAGAAACGAAGCTAAAAAAAAAATACACTGAACAACTGAAAAAACAGAATTAAGAAAGTTCAGAACAGCGTTTCCTCGAGATGCTGACAAACCCAACGAATTCAAGATAGCCCTTAACAACAGGTTACAAGCCTTACAAGATCTACTGAAAGAAGATGGAACTATTACGGAGAACTGATAGATTACAGAAGCACTAACCACAACGTGTCAGGAGGTTCTGGGCAGCATTAAGCATCATCATGAAGGATGAATCCTGATCGAAACCGTGGCCAGAATTTAAGAAAGTAAGAACAAGATTATAGCAGTTGACAACAGCCGAACAAGAGCAAAGGAAATCACTCCACAAACCAAATACACAGAAGCAACAAGCGAGTGGAGAGAAGCACTATCGCCGACAAGCAGAAATACGAAGATCTAGCAATGAAAATGTGAAAACCTGCAAGGGAAGGAATTACCAAACAACTATATGACACAAGGCAGAAACTAGCACGGAAGTATTGTAAAATATAGCAAACAGTAAGGACAAAGACGAGAAAATTGCTAAGATTCAAAAACAGTGGGACAGATAGGTAGAACACTTTGAAGAACTCCTAAATAGATCACCCCCATTGAATCCACCGGGCATCGAGGCTGCACACAGACCTTCCTATAGCTGGCACTCCACCAACGATCGTCGTTTCTGCCTACGCTCCCACCGACTGCAGCCATGATGAAATGAAAGATGACTTTTACAGAAAGCTATCTGAGCTTCTTCAGAAAGCTAAGCGCTCAGACATAATACTCGTTGCAGGTGACTTTGATGCCAAAGTAGGTAGCTTAAACCAAACAGAAAGACATTTAGGTGGGTATTTTAGTATCCCGACTCAGTGGACAGATAATGGTGGTCGTCTGTTTTAACTGTGCTCAGACAATCGTTTACTTTTAGCGAACACTAACTTTAAACATAAGGAGAGACATTGTCTAACATGGCGACCACCTGCACCTAACCAACGATGGACTCAAATAGACTATATTGCCATCAGCCATCGTTGGAGAGGCTCAATAGAAGATTGTCGCTCGTATTGGAATACTTGTTTAGACTCTGATCACGCTTTAATGCGAGCACGCATTTGTCTGCGCCCCACTGGACGCAGAAAAACCATACTAAGAAGACCCATTAGAATTGAACTCAGTGACGATAAAGCCAAAAGTAAGTTCCAGGAACAACTGAATTCACATTTAGGCGGTTCTGTAAACGAGGCTGACCCAGATGTTTCTTAGAAAGATATACAAACTGCTTTGAAAACAGCAGTGACATCTATTAGTAATTTAAACCAAAGGGTTACAAAAAACCAGTGGATTTCTAAGTCTATTGCACTGATGGATTCTCGTAAATTCATCCCATCAGGCTCTGAACACAACGAAGAGCGTAAACAAATCAAATGTAGGTGGACTAAAAGTCTAAGGAACGATCGTGAGCAGTGGTGGGCAACGAAAGCAAAAGAGATGGAAAAGGCAGCGGCTGTAGGGAACACCAGGCAACTATTCAGACTAATAAAAGAAACCGGAATTAAGAAGTCAATTATGAGACAATCTCGGAAAAAGACGGAACCCTTATCTGCTCTCAACCCAAACGTTTAGAACGATGGGCGGAACACTTTAAGGAGCAGTTTAGCTAGCCTTCAGCTACTGCACAACTACCCACTATTCCTAGAAAACCTGAAAGGAACATTGAAGTAGGCCCCCCGACCCTACTTGAAGTTCAAAAGGCTATAGGTAATCTGAAACGAGGAAGAGCAGCTGGTCCTGATGGATTGGCTCCAGAGGTCTTTAAATATGGTGGTCCGATTTTAGCTATTAGGTTGACTAATATTCTGGCTAAAATCTGGGAGACATATGTAATCCCATCCGACTGGTCACAATCACTGATTGTCCCAATATATAAAAAGGGGTCAAAATCATCCTGCGATAACCATAGAGGGATTAGTCTGACTAACATAGTATCTAAAATACTTGCCTTAATAATTATCGGGCGCCTAACTAAGACTCGTGAACTGCAAACACGAGAAAATCAGGCTGGCTTCAGACCTGGTCGTGGCTGTATCGACCACATATTCACCATTCGTCAAGTTTTAAAGCACAGACACGCTTATCGGCGTCCGACAATGATAGTTTTTCTTGACTTGAAAGCAGCATTTGACTCTGTAGACCGGAAGGTTCTGTGGCAGTGTCTGTCATTGAAAGGTGTACCTGAGAAGTACATAAACCTTATGAAGGCTCTTTATTCGAACACTACCAGTCGAGTGAGAGCTTATGGCGAACTGTCATATGATTTTACAACCTCAAGTGGTGTCCGTCAAGGCTGTCCACTATCCCCATTTTTGTTTAACTTCATTATAGACCTGTTGCTGGAAATAACACTCTCTTCGACTGAATTTACAGGAATTGATCTCCTACCAGGGGGTCCACTAAGCGACTTAGAATACGCAGATGACATAGTCCTGTTTGGTGAATACGCTGGCAAAATGCAGATTCTTCTGTTAGAACTGAGTAATAATGCCAGGATGTTTGGGATGCGCTTCTCCCCATCCAAATGTAAATTGTTACTCCAGGACTGGCCTGTGTCAACACCTGAACTAAGGTTGCGGAGCGAAGTAGTCGAACGCGTCGACAACTTCACTTGTCTTGGAAGTCTGATTAGCCCTAATGTGTTGGTGTGTGACGAAATCTCAGCACGGATTCAAAAGGCTCGTTTGGCTTTTGCCAACTTACGTCACTTATGGCGAAGACGAGATATCCGTCTATCAATTAAGGGACGAATATACTGTGCAGCAGTTCGTTCTGTTCTACTTTACGGCTGCGAAACATGGCCATTAAGAGTAGAAGATACTCGTAGGTTACTAGTATTTGACCACAGATGCCTTAGAAATATTGCTCGCATCTGCTGGGATCACCGGGTAAGTAATAGTGAGGTTAGACGCAGGGTATTAGGGAACGATGGTAAATCAGTTGATGAGGTGATGAATCTTCATCGACTGAGATGGTTGGGCCATGTGTTACATATGCCTGAACACCGATTACCACGACGCGCTATGATGACTAGTGTAGGGGATTGTTGGAAGAGAGTTAGGGGTGGCCAAGCAAAAACGTGGCATCAGTGTTTGAAGTCACTAACTTCTAGTCTGAGCCATGTTGGCAGATGCAGACTACCTGGTTGGGGTCCGCGTGACTATCGTAACCAATGGTTTGTGACTCTAAGTGACATGGCTCAGAATCAATCACAATGGCGTAGGTGTATACACTCTTTATCTTCCTTTAAACCTTGAGACTAAAATTGCTTCATATCTCTCCTCCTTCCTGTACTATATCCTTATATACAACCTATAATTTATATACTACTACCACCACTAAATTAATTAATTCTATGAACCCGGTGTTCATCTTGTTGTGCTAACGAGGTATGGCAACTTGGACCGATGCATAAATGTGCCTGGTCGTACGTTGTAGCTGACTGACTGACTGACTGACTGACCAACGATCGTAGAAATCAAGATGGTCATCAGACAAAGCAAGAATGGGAAAGCAACAAGACCCGACAATATACCAGCTGAAGCACTGAAATCAGACATTGAACACGAAGAAAACCAACCCAACCACGCTTAATGGAGAAACTCCGGAAGGTGTGAAAACCACGTATCCTGACACCGTCATCGATGAACGTGGAGGATCTGATGCAGATGTAAAGGCGAGGATTGGCAGGGCAAGGACAGCATTCCTACAATTGAAGAAAATATAGAACTCAAAACAACCGTATGCAAGCCAATATCAAAGTCACAATCTTCAATACGAACGTCAAGACAGTTAGTTCTACTGTGCGGAGCTGAAACTTCGAGAAATACTACAACCATCATCAAAAAGAATAGGTATTTCTAAACAATTGTCTACACAATATACTCAATGCCCGTTGACTGGATACCATCAGCAAAAAGCTACTGTGACAGAGAATAAACTAGCTTCCAGTTGAAGAGGAAATTAGGAAAAGACGTTGGAGATGGATATGACATACATAAGGGAAATCATCAAACTGTAACACCAAGCAAGCGCTAACTTGGAACCATGAAGAGAAACGGAAGAGAGGAAGACTAAGGAACACGTTGCGTTGGAAATAAGCAGATATCAAAAGAGTGAATAGCGACTGAAAAGCACTATTCAGGTCTGTGTTTAATAGGGAATCTATGTTGGGAGGTCTGTACTTCTCCACGAGGTATAACAGGCTTAAGCACGTAGGGTCAACATGGGGTTGTTGGACTAGTAAACAAAAATTATAAATTATTCTAAATCTACAGAGCATACACTGCTCCATATAACCTGGATGTTATGGAATTATTCACAAGTGAATAAAGGGCGTTTTTTGAGTCAGTATATGATTCCGGAGTAAATTCAAGTTGCTTCTATCGTTTGTCACAGAACTAACCTTTATAACGACATCTCGCATTTTTGGTTCATGCTCTGGATGAAGGAATGCCAAGTATTCTAGTTTTGATAACTTCCCATCTCCATCTGCATCGGCAACCATCCATCGCCTCTTGTCTTTTTCAGAATAGGCTTTCTTTGTTTCATCATCTTCATCTGAAAATACAATTAAAATTTTGTTATGAGATAGAAATGAGTCTTGACAGAATGTATGGTAGACGATGGACCCATAGTGTATCAAGTAAATGAGAAGTCAACGTACCCTCTAAATCTCCGTCTTCACCAAACAGCTCGTCAATGTGTTTCTCCCAAGACAACTTGTCTCCATCTTGCAATTCAAAATCTTTCCAAGCGCGATCAACATCATCAAGAAGCATTTTCTTGGATACTTTGTTAATCCACGCAGTCATTTCTTCGGAAGTGATTTGACCATCATTATTTAAGTCAATTTTGTCCACAATCTCACTAAAAGGTAATATTCAAAGATTGAAAACCGTTGAACATTGTTAGCTGTCAGAAATTCTTGTGCTTTATGCAAAGTTTTTTTCCTTTGAAGACAGAACTGACTATTTATTGTACCTAAGCTTAATGGAATATTCTTAAATGCCTAACCAGAAAATGTGCCCAGCCATATGGTTGGTGGGGTTGCTATGAAGCGTAAGTTAGAAATGGTTTTGATCCAACAACTGGAACGACTTAGTCAGTAAACCTATATAATAATGTCTGTACACAAAACGTGGAACTAGTACACCGGAGGCGAACTCTGGTATAAAACCAAATTTCATATCACCTGGTAATATATATTGATAATATTACTCGATGAAAACCAGTAAAGTCTTAGCTATATAAAAAATTGTCTATAGCTTTGGTTCAATCCACTGAAAACGGGACATCTCATTGATCAAACGTCTTGAGTTTATGAATATAACCCCGAACAAGTCAATGTAACTGATCAGCAAAATTTTCAAATAAAAACATTAAAGCTGGTATTAACAATAAAATAAGCAATTTTGCGTAAAACACCCTTATGTAGGATATAGGAAAAACGTTTAATACCCCAGTTTTCGTTTGCTTTCTTCTGGTGTTAGATCATCGAATCTTTTGGCCTCGTCTCTCCCCAAAAATGCATCATGATCATATGCTGCACTATGTTCACCTTCAAAGACATGTGGTGAATTGCTTAGGTCCTACGAAAATATTTCTAGTTATAAGTATTATACCTTATCGGTTGTTCGCGGTTTAAATTTTGATTCGACCAACTCATAACTGAACAGTGTGCACAGTACTACAATGTAGAACAGACCCAACCGCATCATACTGCACGTTGCAAATGTATAAAGCACAACAATCACGAACACAAAATCCGTGCGACCCTCGGAAAATTATTTATACCCGGAGTTAACGTCCAATAACCTATTGACCCGTTTTGAACATGAAATCACGCTTTTCAATGTTCAATAAAATCTCGATATCTTTTCTTGCCGAATTAAGATAGTAGGTAAAGTGAAGTGACAGCTCAAAATCAATTCCCTGGTGATTGTTGAACTCTTGCGCCCAATGTCTATTCACTAAACAAGTATAAAAATGCCGGATATTTCACAAAAAATTGTCTAGTGACAGAAAGATGAACGACCAATGAAACGACACTGAACTCTAGACAAATCATCTCTTTATTGGGTCACTGAATATCTAACAGATCATCGATCCCCATCAATGTCAAGGACAACCAACGCCTATTAATTAATCGTACTCCATGGACTGGATCATGTGGTAGTAGCCTCGCTATCTCCTCTGTATTCATCCTTACCAGTATATTTCCGTAATAACGTCCTTTGTGTTATACGGTATCAAAGCATACAGAGTACCTTGATACGACGGAGGGATAATCCACATTAGGTGCTGACTGGAAGGTGCGACTTCGAAGTTAGTTGTTAGTCACATCATTCCCATTTAACTCAAGTAGGTCCCCAATCATTTGACATAAATCATCTACGTTAGTGAAATACTCACCATTAGTTCACGGATATGTATCTTGTCCCCATAAAACTTACTTAGAATTTCTGTCTATCGTTTTTTTGTTTTCGGCCAACCCTGATATTCTTTTAGAATCTAAATTACTGACCTTTATTGTTCTAGAAAAGAGTCACAATTTTTAATGCCTTAGCACAACGAACCAATACTCCGATAGAGTTGTTTTTATTCTTAGATCTGAAGACCATCTGCTTTAATCTGTCAAATTTATCTATCTGGTTAAAGAAAAGTTACATATTATTCGGAGCTCGAAGCCACTTTCCGCATCCAGTGTATAAATATTTAGTGGATTAGGTTGTAGCGACAAACAATTTTCCAAGTCAATACCCCAACAAATATTCAAGATTCCACCATGTCCTTCTGAGTTATGACCCAATCAACTGAAGATGCACTTTCGGGCATTCTTGTCGTTTCATCAACCTATGGTGTGGACTCTAAGCTAGCCAAATTAACTCGCTCAGGTTCATTTATTTACGCTCTCGGACAAAACGGTTATTGACTCCAGACGGTATTGATTACTAAATCAGCAACCTACTAATGTATACAAACAATCAGGTTACAACCTAATGCAAGATTGGTATCTGCGTCGTCGGATTCTAAGGTGAGCCGACATTGCTGTCTAGTCTATAGAGTCATAGCAGTTGTGTTAACTAATGATTATCCATAACCGACCAGAATAATCATATGATTTATGGCGACTTGACGATCTTTTTCTCAATATGGAATTAACTAAGTTTTCGGTGAAAGAAGTAATGATTTTCCATACACCTTATTGTTTCTGCTCCTACAATGGACACAGTCTAGTTGGAAAATCACAGACAGATTGTTGTTTAGGGGACAAACAGCTTGTTTATGTATCCAGACATCATATTTTAATTGGTTTCTAATCAGCTGCTATTTAAAAGTGCCAAATAAGTGTCTAGAAACCAATAAACCTGTGAAAAAAGTTCATGAACATAACTAGAAACCTGTATTTATTGCAACTGAACCGTACTGGTATTTGATGCTTCCGTTATTTTCAGTTGATCGTCGCAAATAGCATTTGACTAAACTATTCATTTTCACATTCGGGTTTCATATTTAAAGTCAGAATTCTTTCCAGGTCTTCCTGATCTATCTGATTTGTCCTCATAGGTTTCCATTTACCAAACTTGGTCACCCAATCCCACAAAACGGATTATGTGACTACTTTTGTGGTTTTGAAGTTCGACAACCTGTGACCATATGTTCTTCAGCCGTAGCTGGACTAAAGTCTAAAGACTAAAGAAAGCCATGAACCACTCGGCAAATCAAGATCATATTTGTGGTTATTCTTTCGTCTTTCGCAGTTAAAATTCGTATCCATTAATACGAATCGAATACATCCAATCATCAACACAAATACTTTCATCCTCTCTTCAGTGAACTTGTTACGGAAAACTGATAACCACTTTCACGCAACAAATTTCAACCTCTTTAATTCAGGTTCTAAGTGTGTAAAGATAATTTCAAATAGCTCAGTCCTTACGCTTCTCATCGTCTGAAGAAGCACCTACATTATGGCATTCATTCTATTAGATACATCACACTGATGAAAATAGATGCCTACTGCGACATATAATCTATGATCTAAACCCCAATTCCTAGGTGAAGAACTTGAAATCAAAAGCGATGTGCAAGCCCAAAGTAAGTGTTTATTTGCAAGTTCATAAGTTTTCGGCTTCTTCGTGGTTCGAATTTTCCTTGAAACTGCAAGATAGTTTGGACTCAAACACTTTGTGATGACCTACTTTTACGACGAGAATGCGATTGGTGTAATGGGAACAATTATTATTATAACCAATTGTACCAGTGATTGTTTTACTGTACTTGTTTGTTTGACCGTACCAAAAACACATTTCGTTCCGTGGTCCATCTTGCTTGTGCGAACGCTCTTACGCTCTGCCGTTTTACCTGTAATCTTTGGCACGTCTCGGTATTCTTTCGATACCACGAGATCGCCAATAAATATATCTTATCTTGACCAATAACAGCTTTCTGGTTTTCGGCTAATCGAGGGATCCAAGTCGATTTCTGGCACGTAATCTTATTGTAGTGGTGATCATAGTCAATCGCGACTCAACGCCATCCACAAGTCCGTCAGCACATTTGCAAGCTATCAACAGCTCAGACCACCGGCGACTAGATTCTTCGCACTAAAGTTATCAGATGATTTCAATCGTCCCCCGTTTGCACTCAAAGATTTCTTCCATTTGTATTATATACCATCGTAATTCGGAAGCGGTTTGATCTTGAATTGATCTAAGCTCCTCTGTAAATCGACTTTCATATTCAGCTTGTTTGAATAATTTGACCGCTTTTTCAACGTATAAACCACGTTCAACTAACTTTTCACGTCCATCGAACAATCGAGATTGGAAATCTAACTGCACTTCAAGACTGAGGATTTTGTTTTCCAAATCAGTTCGAAGTAGTGCCTCAGCCTCAAGATCTCGTTTCGTTTCTTCGAACCGCTTTTTTCTGAGACATGGTAGCTACTAAGGAGAGTCTGTTAAGTATAATGATCTTGTTTATACTTACTAAGTTCCATTTGAAGATTTTCTATTTTTCTCTGTGTTATAAACTTGAAGGAGGATGCTGATTATAACTCTTGCGGTTTCTGGTTATAACAGTCCTTTCACTTCTCACACGTATGTGGGACGTTAAATTACCTTAGACGAATATCTACACTAGATTCCCACCCAGTGTCTATTCTACAAGACTTCAACAGAACTCAGATCAAGAACACGAGATTAGCCTGACAATAACGTCAATATATTTCCACACCAAAATCCGATACAAAGAACAGTCAATCAATAAGTGCCCATCAACAAGGAACAGTCAATACATAATAAGGATAGGGGAATATATATAACACACAGCACCTGTCATGTCTGACTCATCAAGACAACCAATCATTGTCATTCTCGCCCACACATCACTCTGTAAGTTACAATCCTCTTGACCTCATCTGTAAGCTCTTGTTTTCATGTCATTCAACTCAACTCTTACATGCTTGGAATCTAGCTCGATCGTTGTGTCTGGTCCTTGGTAAATCATGTGGTTTAGGGTGACCCATGTGAACTTGGTGGCACAATCGAAACCCACTCTCAACTTCTCTGGGTTTTTGAAGTTTCACACTGCATGATGAGATAAATACCAACAGGGTCGATACTCTGGCTGCAATTATATTTCAGGGACTTTCTCCTCATGGCTCGTAGTAAAATTACTCTTAATACCTTTAGTGTACCTGATGTGCAGACCGTCATCTTTCAACGACCTACGTCTCAAACTCTGTAGTCTACTGTTTGATACTTCATAATTCATAACTCACATATTTGAATGCTTTTTTGATGGTATCAGAACTACAGAATGACCATCGTCGAAGCGCGTGTCTATTTTCACAATCTGTATGGCTGCCTTATCTTCTACTGATACTAATCTATTACTTGAATAGACATCGGCAGACTCCACATCATAGAGCTTACATACTTGGTCTTCTAATGTCTGTAATTTACTGGTATGACTTACGACTATTTTCCTAATGTTCAGGCATGATGCAGGTCCAAACACAGTCCACCCCAGCAACGTCTTCACAGCGTACGGGTTTTTCCTCCCACCCAACCACTGTTCAAACACCCATTGGGCTTCCGGGACGTCTCAACCAATCAGCAGTAAGACTTCTTCAGAAACTAGACTATCTAATAACACATCACCTAAATGCGGCCACTTAACTAGGCTGTTCATTACCGACTTCGTTGGTCTATGCCCTGGTATACGTGACACAATCAGAGCTCCTTCAATCATAACGTGTTCAGACTGATCTAAAGAATACATCTCAAGAGGCGCCTTCGTGGCCTCTGTTGTTCTATTACCACCTACAGTCTGAACTACCACTGACGCTTGGTCTTCCTTCAGCTCGAGCGATCACAAACAATCTGACCCTATCAATGTTACATCAGAACCATTATCCAAAAGAGCGCAACCCACAATATTAGCGTTTCCCGATCTTAACCGCACGGGATCATTCCTAAACACACATGACTTGTTGGTGACTTAGTTAATCCAAAACAGTTTTCCATACTAGGTTTATCCTTTGATATGTTGGCTGTAGAACCATTGTGCAACAATGAGTGATTTTTCTTCGTACACCTGTCAACGGTACGGCGCTTCGTGAGTCTAAATTCATTAGCCTTATGTCCTTGCCTAAGACACACAAAGCTGATACTCTTGCTCTTTATGTGAGACCATCGATCTTTCATTGTAAGCGCTAAAAACCGTGGGCATTTTTAAACGGCGTGGTGGTCAAAACACATACTACATTTAGTTCCTACGATCGAAACATTCCACTTCCCCGGTAGTGAATGGCGATTCGTCTTCATGTTATATACCTTTGTTCGACGATCCGCCAACCGTCCAAATCTACTGGCAGCCACTCTTGTAAGGGCTGTTATAAAATGGGTGAGCTCGACAAACGTCGACTCTCTATCGTCTTCCGTCAACCTGTCCCGCTCA